CCATTGCTATTGACATACCCCATGATGTTAATGTATAACTTCCACGTGTATATTGATGATTTTCATCGGCTGGGTTTGTTGAATACCAATTAAGTTTTTTTTCACGACATACACTCAATAATAATTCATTACGAGACGTAAAATATAATGCCTGTATACGACTTTGATGACCTAAATAAGTACATTGTAATGTAATTTTATTAAAATCATCAGCAACAAGAAATTCCTATAAAATAAAATTATCACATAGAAAAATAAAGAAGGTAGAACGATTTTCGTTTTTTTTTTTACATAAACGAGGCCTGAATCACAACCACAAAAAAGACGACGTGATGATTCATGATAATAAAGTGCAGTTGGTGCACCTAAAATATAAATGAATTCAAATATGAATATGCAAACAAAATTTTTCATTAAATTACTATCTAATGTATAACACACAGATGGCCAATATTTTCCTGTTTGTCGTCGTAACCAAATACGTAATGTTCTATAGAACGAAAAAAAAAAGAAATTATTTTCATATATACTTATACTATTTTTACCTATCATCAAGAGCTGTTAGTACACCATCATCAGTAGTTAGTAGAATAGCATCATTAATACTAACTTCAACATCTATTTTATTTAAAAGTTCAGGTCGACGAACTTTACCAACACCTTCATCAATTGCGGCTGCCATATACCTATTTGATAGAATTAAAAAACTACTAATCACTCAGTTAATCTTCATAATATGATATAAATCATTCATCATATATAATATTCGCTACAATGGATAACCAATCCGAATAACAAAAAAAAACAAGGTTTCTATAGATGTCCTAACGAATGTAAATCTAATTCTTTCTACAAAACAAACTTTTATTTTAACAAGATCGATATTTGCAGAGGATTAATAATAAAATTAATGAGACCTAGACTTAAGTTTAGCATAACTAATACAATACTGTGATATGTATGAGATCTCATTCTCGTACTAAAGTTTTTCTGTATTAAATTTATTACAGATAGAAAAAAAAATTTAATATCAAAACTTAAATAGAGACTTCTTTTCTCTGATGACACATTTTACACGATTTGATGTGTTGACATAACACACAGCATTACATATGATTAATATTCTTATCTAATCTGAAGTAAATTTTTCGTATTTATTTTTCAAATATTGCTGTCAGAATAAAAAGTTCAATCTTGGAATATGAACTATTATATTCTGTTAAAATAGTAGAGTTTTTTTTTAATCAAATATCGTATGAACTAAATCATACGTTTCAATATAAATTTATATTATCAATAAAATAAATATCGAAACAATTTTCAACTATTTCAATTACCTGATAAACAATTGTTGATCTACAGAGTACCGAATACAAATAAAGTCAAAGTACAACTCTGATATTGTGTTTGCATGTCTCGAGCAAATCGGTTTCCAATTTTATAAATGTATCTAATCGTCCTACTTTAGTTGTGAATTGTAATTCTGTTTTGTTACTATATGGTCATATTAAAATAAGATATTACAACGTGAATAAAACAGTCTATATGTAATCACATTAGCTGAAATCTTTACAAATCAGCTTAGAACCTAATCTAGAAAGACTTTTCACAAGAGTTTTCCCGATATCTCAGAGAACTGTAGTGTTACAAACTCAATCCTTGGCATCCAAGTCGAACCTGCTTCTAACTTGATTTCAACACAAAAAATACGACATCATTTGAGACGAAGGTGTGGATGTGGATGGGGTGTGGGTGTGGGTGTGGTGTGGGTGTGGGTGTGGGTGTGGGGTATGGGTGAGGGTGGGTGTGGGTGAGAGTGGGTGTGGGTGAGAGTGGGTGTGAGTTTGGATCTTCGCTTCACCCACATCCACCCGCATCCACCCACACCCCCACACCCACCCACACCCTCAACTTTAACAAAGCTCTTTATTAATGTTGTTGAAATATAAATCTCTTTCTATCAAGATACAAAAACAAATCAGTAATTGTCAATGATCAAACATATTGAACGAAAATAAGAGAGAGAAATATTATAATTCTTTATTCGTTATTGATTGAACTATATAAAAATTATATCATTATTTTCTTCGACAGCATCGATCAAATAAACCAAATGAGTATATATATATAGACAGTTTCAAGCTAAAAACAAAGAATAGATAACGGAAGAAAAATATGGAATATCCACGTCTTCAATTGACTGATTTACCCGATGAAATTCTTTTGATTATTTTCAAAAAAGTAGACAATGTCGCACTACTTTATTCTTTATTTGGCGTTAATAAACGATTAAATAAAATTTTACATGATCCAATTTTTACAAGTCATTTGAATTTACTGAATTGTTGTTCGAATGATTTTATTTATGGACCATCTTATCCAATACTTAATCGATTTTGTTTACAAATTTTACCTAAAATTCATCATAAAGTCAAATGGCTTAATCTCGAATCATCATCAATGGCACGTTTTCTTCATTGTACAAATTATCCTAATTTAAATGGACTTGGTTTATATAATCTTGAAATAGAAAAGGCAAAACATCTCTTTA